CGCGCGCGCACGCACACGCGCACGTGCATGCGTGTGCGCGTGAGCGTGTGTGCTTGAGTGCGTGTGTGCGAGTGCGTGCACGCGAGTGCGCCCGCGCTTGTGTGGCGGCAAGGCCTCGCCGTTCGCGGCCCCTTGCCAACCCCCTGATGCTGTCAGCGCATGCAGACACAGTGCCTCAGACCACAACTGTCTGCCCCTGACACCCCAACCTCCCGCCCACCCAGAATACTCCACCCGGCCCAACCCCAAGCAGCCCTGCCCACCTGCCGCCCCAGCCGCCGCCTCCAGCGCCGCCGTCCGGGTCGAGATCGTCGGTCCCCGCCATGCGCGCCACCCCCATCGCCCGCTGCCGCGCCAGCACCTCGGCCAGGGCCCTGCGCCGCGCAGCCGCGGCTGGGTCCAGGCCGCCCGCGGCGTCGATGCGCGCCGCCTCCTCAGACTGCAAGGTAATGGGGGCCCGGGAGGGGGAGGGGGGGCCGTCGATACTACCCCCACCCCGACCCCGCCCAGCGCTCCTGCACACGCCCCAGACGCGCGGTGCCACCTATCCATCCGCGACACACCAACACACCCGACACGCACCTTGCGGGCAACGTTGGCTGCCGTGGGGTAGGACTTGCGGCGCGCCTCCCTCCACTCCGCCACCTCGCGCGCCTCCTGCATGCTCGCGGGAGCCCGCACCACCGCGTCCTTCACCTGGGGGCAGGCCGCAGGGCGGGGGGGAGCTTGAGGGGGTCGCTCGGAGGGGTGGCGAGGCGTGCAGAGCAACTGCAATGGCGACTGCAATTGCAATGCGGAGCGCGTAGCGGATGGGGCGGGGTGGAAAGCGGCCTGGGGTTGGTGTCGGCCCCCGGCTCCCACCCGGGTCACCTCGATGGGGGCGGCCGCATCCAGCTTCTTCTGCTGCTTGCGACTGACCTGGCCGTCGCCGTCAGCTTGCGTGGGCCCATCACCAGCGGGCGGGGCCGGCCGCTTTTGCCCCGCCGCCGGCAGCTGCGGCGGCGGCAGCTGCTGCTGGAACCCGCTGGGAGGGCCGCGGCCGCCGCTGGGGCCGCCCCTCCCGCC